GATAAGAATGAGCATCAAACAGAAATAACCCGCATACATGTGGTGTTCGAGGCGCTCAAACAATACAGACTGCCGAGTGCCGACAGTTAAACAGGCGCGCGCAGCTCTTAAAGGGGCCACACCTTATTTCCACTGGTTACAGCTTCCATTCTACTGAACAGGTACCGTTATACAGGGGGAAGAGATCAGGCCGTGAGTGCAGAGACATCTCTGTGTGACTGCTATTTACGACAGTAACGTTACATACAAGTACTCCACAGCGACTCTAGGGGTCGCTGTTTGACAAAAACAGAATTTCTGCATAGAATGCCTTTAAATGCTTTATAAGTACTAATAAACAGCCAATATCCTAGTAATATGCATGCTATAGTGAGAATTGGACCCTAAGCTAAAGTGTTACCAAAAATGGGTGTGCATTTTGTGAATTTATGTGGATGGAAACACATTTCTGATCTGGTTTTACACTTCAGACTGACACAAGAGGAAAAACGGGTTGGGGAAACACAAAATGACACATTTAAATGTTTTTCCTTGAAATGGAAAATCTTCATGCCTTAAAATAGCTTGAATGCAACTCTACACCCTTGACTCATTTAGTATATGCGGTTCTATGAATATGCAAATTAGCCCCGCCTCCACTCACTCACACCAGCTCAGAGATCCACTCGTTGACGTGATTGGTTAGTTTGTGACGTCAGAAACACCAGCGAAACCGCGTTTTTGAGACTGTCTTTGGTTCACTGCAGTTTTAAAGAGAAAATACTTAGCAATGGTGTTGACTTATGAATTTACACATGATTTGTCTTAAAGGGGTCATATAATTGTACATGCACTTTTACAAGTTGATTGTACTGAAATGTGTGTTGGCAGTGTCTGTACACAGCCATCATATAATGATAAAAATCCATCCAGTGGTTTTGTTTTAATCTCCTTATATGTTTTCCCCTGCCTCAAATCGAGCCGTTCGAGCCTGTGACGTCACTAGCTCGCACGCCCCTCCCACGATTGTTGATTGACAGGAGCGTTTCAACACAGACCCGCCCTCGCTCATGAGCCAGCTGTCAATCATAGTCTGCGCGGACCGGCGCGGTCATTGTTGATATGCTGGAGCACTGACTATGAGCAGAATGGCGTTTGTGGTGTTCTGTTCTTGGGTGTAATAACGAACACAGCAGTCATTTTAATGTTCCTAAATCCGAACCGCTGAAGACGCAGTGGCTGAGTTTGTTTTCGAAGGGAATATTCCCCACGAGCAACGTCAATGCTTTCATGTTTGCGCAAATCATTTCACACACCAGACTGCTTTATAAACGAGGAGGTATAAAGCTGGTTTTGCTAAGAAGCTGCTCATGAAAAAAGGATCGGTACCAGCTATTCGTGTTCCTGCTGAATCTCCAGAAGAACGGAAGTGAGTGTAACGTTTTATTAAACTTTATATTAATATGTTAATCTTTGCAATTCGCTAGCTGCACGCTTCACAATGAATGCGTCTAAGGTTTACACTCAGGGTACATTACGGCATGTTTTCTATGTATGACGTTCTCAATATAATTCATAATCCCACGTTTATACTGAACAACGCGTTATGGTTATTGTGTTATTGAGTTACAAACGGTGTACGCCAGAGCCGGCTCTGGTGTACGCACAGAACAGAGAGGCGGGGTGAGCAAAGCTCATTGTCATTTAAAGTCATATACACTGAAACGGCGTGCTGAAAACAGAGCTGTTTTTGACCAGGTAAAATAAGTGTTTTCTTACAATACTAATGAGAATTTTTAATTAAAGTATATTACAAACTTTTAATTTAGACCCTAAAGAATCATATTAGCTTGTACAAAAATGGCATTATATGACCCCTTTAAAGCTTGATTTTCACCACTGGGAGACTTTAAAGGGGTGGTATAATGGGCTTTTTACAATATGTAAAATAAGTCTCTGTTGTCCCCAGAGTGTGTATGTGAAGTTTTAGCTCAAAATACCCCACAGATAATTTTTTACAGCATGTTGAAATTGTCAGTTTTTTAAGGGTCAGTTTCGTGTGTGTGTCCCTTTAAATGCAAATGAGCTGCTGCTCCCGGCACAGAGGGCGGAGCTCTGATTACCTCACAGAGACAAGCACTAAAATGTCAGAAACTTGCTGTTCTGCCTTTTTTGTTTAAACTGGAGTTGGACAATGATGGAGAGACTCAAGAAGAAGTGAAAACATGTAGAATGCAACAGGACGTTTCTGAATGGTTAGTTGATAAATTTATGTTGCTGATGTGGAGTTAACTATTTTTAATTAGCATATTCTGTCAATATAATCTATAAAATCATTGTGAACTGTTGTAAGATTCCTACAGAGTGACATGCTATTGCATTTGTGTTACAATCTGTACTGCATGTGAAAACTAAAGACTAAGACTGTGTTCCCGGGGTCAGGGTTTATGTAAATTTTAGGGTTAGTGATGTCACTTTAGCCGGGAGGAATGTCCTGTAGTCCCTACCAGCCGTTTGTTGTAGTCCTTAAAATATGATTTCTTTAAAAGCACAAATCTCCCTTTGCTTTGAAATTTGAGCATTGTAACTTTGCAGATGTTGTTTATGCTCAAACAGCAACATTACACACTAACTAAAGTTAGAAAAGTGAAATCATAATCAACCACCCCTTTAACAGTTTTGAAAAGAGTTAGTAAATGTGCAAATTGAAAGAAAGGACTGAAAGACAGCAAAAGAAAAACTGAAAGAGCAAAGGAAAGAGTGAAAAAAGAGTAAAAGAGCTAAAGAAAAAAATTGTGAAAGAAAAAGTGAAAGCGAAAGAAAAAGTGAAAGAGCAAAAGAAAGAAAGAGTGAAATAGAGCAAAAGAAAATTGAAAGAGAGAAAGACAAAGCAAAAGAAAGAATTAACTACCACTATATACCTAGATACTTTTATAAAGATTTTTCTTTTCTTCATTATTATTATTTTAGTTATTTATTTGTATTATATAGTGTTATTAATGCTTCTTATGAATGCAATTTATTTCACCATGCCAATAAAAGTATTTGAATCTTGAATCTTATAAGAGTGAAAGGGAAAAAAAGAGTGAAAAAGAAAAAGAGCAAAACAAAAAGTGACAGAGCAAAAGAAAGAAAGAGTGAACGAGCAAAAGAAAGAAAGAAAGAAAGAGTGAAAGAAAGATCCCTGTAGTGTTTGATGGTTTACAGCAGGCTGTGCTTCAGTCATTAACCCTTTAAGAGCTCCCTGGAGAGAAGGACTTTGTCATGAAAGAGTGTTTATGAGACTCAATATATTTCTGAATGAATAAAATTGCTCTATGAAGCTAACGGCTGAATAAAAATGATAGTTATTCTGAACCGTCATGCTAATTTTCCAAAAACAGCATTTCATACATGGTATATTGTTTTACACAGGTGCAGAATCATTTTAAAAATGTTAAACGTGATCCAGAAAGATAATGCAATTTGTTGTTTATTTCCACAAAAAAAAAAAAAAAAATGTAGAAGGACTATAAAAAAATGAAAGAGGGAAAACGGAGAGCAAAAAAGATAAGCTTGAATGCCATTTATTTATTTTTTCTTATAAATAGTAAATAGTGCTGCATTTTACACATTCTCCATCAACAATTATATGCAGTCGAGAACCAAAAAAACATAAAGTATAAAAAACAAACAAGGTAAAAAACATTGTTCCAATTCTTAAGATGTGAAGGCAGATGAACATTGTGTTACAGACACAGAACAAAGTACTCAGTTCTGCAAACTGCAGTGTAAAAATATTATGAAACATTATGAACCGCTGCATCATCTGGAATCTTTTCTTGCACGAAAAACAATCGGAAAACACAGAGGTGAAGAACAGATGATCTTCTTGAGCGAGTGAGAACAGACGAGTGTTTATGAGGTATTGAGTGTGTATTGCACTTTCATTGGGTTCGTTTTGTGGCGTGTGAATGTTCAGAATAGCGTACTACCATACTACTCATACTAATTCTGCAGTATGCACTATGTGTATTATGTGAATTTCCTGCAAGCAAAACTAACTAGATGACCTTCTACATTTGCCATTGCACTGTGAAATACATAATACCACAATGCAATGGATTCAACTTGACCTTCCTATTACATTGTGACCAATGAACTCTTTGGGCCCTATTTTAAGGATCTAAGTGCATGGTCTAAAGCGCACGGCGCAAGTACACTTAGGTCGTGTCTGAATCCACTTTTGCTAGTTTAACGACAGGAAAAATGGTCGGCGGTGCTGGCGCATGGTCTAATAGTGTTGTTCTTATTCGCTTAATGAGTAATGGGTGTGTTTTGGGCGTAACGTGCAATAAACCAATCAGAGTCTCATCTCCCATTTCCTTTAAAAGCCAGTTGTGCTCGCACCATGACGGAGTTTGCAAGCGGAAAGATTGAACGCTTCTCTAGCGAGGAAACGGATCTGCTCGTGCGCGAGGTTAAAGTGCGCAAGCAGACCATCTAAGGGATAAAGTGTACACTAAACAATGCTGGGTTGTTTTAACCCAAAATTGGGTAAAATATGGACAAACCCAAATGTTGGGTTAAAAATGTCATTTAAAATTTTAACCCAACTTTAACTTTCACTTTCAACTTTACATTTTTTAATTAAATTTTTAACCCAACATTTGGGTTTGTCCATATTTGACCCAAATTTGGGTTGAAATAACCCAGCATTTTTTAGAGTGTATGTGCGTTTTGCACCCGCCTATAGGCGCATATTACTAACGCACAAAAAATGACTGCGCCATTGACTTTAGACCAGGTTTCAGTTGGTCAATGGCGCAGTCTATTTCAATTCCCTCATAGCAACGCGCCATCAATGCGCCCGAACACTCCTCGTTTTCAGACCAGCAGCACATGGGCGCACAGATGGGCACAAATGTATTTGCTATTTAAACAACGTGGCGCAGGACGTGAAAATGATAACTGCGTCGGGCTGAAACTAGCAAAACACACTAGCTGGTGCTGCATTGCGCCGGATGTATGATAGGGCCCAAAGTAATTCGATTTTCTTGATTCATACAAAAGATGTTTTAGACTAAATGACATTCAAATGCAACAGGTTGCATACTACAATTGAAAATATTTATCATTGCATATGTTCTGTTTCTCAAACAATTTGAGTATATACTGTAGTATACAGTATGAAATAAGCGATACGATAGTATTCCATTCTGAACATCACTTCTGTCTCATACTACGGTATTTTGTGTGTGCTCAGATGAACTGGTAGTAAAGGGATCACACTTCTTCGTTTTGTCCGTCTAGCTATCTCTCTGACACGACTGAAATCCCATCGGACACTCGAGTGCATTCCTTCAAGGTCAACCTCTTTCTCTCTTTGAAGAGGACCTGAGAGCGTTGACTTGCGAACATGTTCTTGTGTATTTATGGATGAGAAACAAGGAAAGCTGGCACACTTTTTCCGAGCCCTTATTTCCTAAATATATCAATAAAAATGTCTCAACCAAAGAGTCACCGTCACTAAAGTGCGTCCGTCAGTGGACAGCTGATATCAGAGTATATCTTCCCTGCCATTCCATGCTGTTTATAAGCACAGTCTCAGTCTTTGAGTTGTTTATTTGTCCTTTCCCTTTGTCCTCCGTGTGTCCCATGTCGCTCTTCAGGAAGGAGGCAGTAAGTGTCGTGAGAACGTGTGATGCAGTGGCCTGCTCCAAAACAGGATGGATATACGGAGGGGCTGTTTCCTCCAGGACTAAATTATCAAACTAAGCCTTCCACCACTCACCTCGATCCTGGTCCTAAACCCAACCCAACCCTACCCACAATATCCCCCTCATAAAAACAACTCGGTCGCACTTTGGACCCACGTGCGTCGGGGAGGACCGCCGTCACCCCTGGCTTCTCCACAACGCTCCTCGCTCAGAGACCCAGTGAGGAGCGGGAGTTTGAGGATGGATGGTCATTTTGGTCAAACATTCAAGGAGAGCTCAAGTGCAAGAGTTTATGGTCAGGCCATCCATAGATCTCTTCATCTCCTTCCTGTCTGTCTTCATTCAGTCAATGCTAGGTTTCAGATAATGAAAGGCACCTGAAAGAGACAGAGACATACATGAAAAATATGAAAAATTAAACATTTTATTTTTGCTAGTTCACTTATTTTATTTCTCATTTTCATATAGTTTAAGTCGAAATACTAAAATAACTCAAAATAAAAATAAAACTTAAAAATGACAATGACAAAAACACACAACAAAAATAGTAAAACTTTAACTAAAATGAAAATGAAGACATAAAAAGAAATTCAAACTATTGCCAAAAACAATGACAGAATATCAATGATACTAAAATAATACTGATTAAATTCAATTGAAATGTATGATTAAAATTGTTTTTATTAAATATACAGTACACAAATTTAAACATCTATGTTTTAAAAAATTAAATACATATTTTAAATATATATAACTGCCTATAAATTCATGTAAATTTCAGACTTCATTTATACAACCTGCTTCTATAATATTTTATAATACTTGTTTCTGTGGACAAATGTAACATTATATCTCTGGAGAGTAAATAAACTAAATAAAATACAATAAATGTCACATCATTTTTGCTAATTAACCTATGCTAATTGTTTAGGGGACTAATTAAAATGTGACTGTTTTGTTTATATGTTGCAGAATTTTATATTTTTAGTAGCCTTTGGCATTTTTTTAATTATTTTATAGGCCAGAAATGATATCATTTTATATATTTACATTAATTAAATTATATTAAACATTGGAAAGTTTACTGATGCCTCCTAGTGGGCTCTGGGACAATGGCTGAGAAACACTGGCCCTGTTTACACCTGATATTAAGATGCGTTTTGGTCGATCGGATCACAAGTGTAAATACAGGTGTAAGCGGGGTCTAAAACGTTTTGAGCTTGTCCACTTTCAACCACTTACAAGAGGTAGTCGAAAACACATTGACCGGATTGCTTTCGTAGAGTAAACGCTCATGTGGTCGAATGTGTTCAAACAGCCACAAAAGACCGCCCGCTCTGCTCCTACTGACTTAATGCGTAAACATTACGGGAAGCACACTACCCAGACGGGATTTAAACTTTGTCGGCTGAAAACCCAAATTTGGTTTGAAGACGAAAAATGTACCAAGCGCAATGTTCGCTCACCATTCCTGATTTCTAACACAGTGTTTGTCGTTGTCTTGCGGCTATAAGAGCAGAAAGCTGCTGCTCTCCATGTTTTTCTGTCGTCTCTGGTTGCGTTCATGAAAATCACGTGACCTTATTTTGTCCATTAGATCGAAAGATCTGAACAAACAAAAAACATACATTTACCCACCCATAGCCCTCCTGGTTGAAAATGAACAAAAGAGACGGATTAAAACACCAGGTGTAAATGGGAATGTGTCTCCCTCGTCTACTTGTGATCTAATCGACCAAAACGCATCTTAATACCAGATGTAAACAGAGCCACTGACATCAATATGATTATATCAACATAGCCTTTGCCAATAGAAAGAAAGACAAATTGAAATATGCAACAGATCCAGCAAAAGACAGCACATGATTGAGAGAGCCAGTGCGTGCCAATTCCTCAAGAATACAGACAGACAGAGCAAAAAAGAGAGATTGGTGGGATGGGGGGGGGGGGGGGGGTGAAAAGAGAGCTGTCCTATATTCAGTTCTGTATGGATCAGAGTCAATGATCAACAGCAACTACAGATCTGACCCGTCTGAAACACATGGTTCTAATATCTGCCTGCCACGGGCCATTCTACTCCAACACGAGACCCCCGCTAACTCCTCCACGGACCCCCAGCTCTGTGCTTACGGGGTGCGGACCCCAGCAAATTAATGATATCAAGATGCAGTCCTGGATTGGGCACTCGACATGCAGTCCTGGTGTGTAAGGCCTCCCCCCCCCCTCTGACTCTGTCAAACTAGTACTGAGATGGCTGCTCCTCTCATTTCACTGTTTGAGTGGATCATGAACGATATCTTTGTTACCCAGAGCTCATTACATGGCTGGCTGACGGATGCCTGGAGCTGATGAGATACAGCTCATCTCACAGGGTCGTGAAAGGTTACGGGTTAAGCATCATAAACCATGACAGCGCTAACCTGTGCGGCGGCCCAGAGGATTACAACTAACTAATGTAAACTGATAATTACGCCTCAGATTAGAAGACGAATACTCCACTGAAAATAATCTCAGTTGACGTTCAGATGATCGTGTTTCTCGATAGAATCAATGACCTTTTTTTTTTAGTTCTCTGGAAGGACTGTTAGCTTAGCACGTTTACTGTAAAAAGTGGAGCTGTGGTGATGTAATTTATCAAAAAAATCATGTGGCTTGCTTGTGTCAAAGTGTACAAATTAGAAATATACCCTATTTTCATATTGTGAATGATAAGTTCATGCATATAATAAAAATTTTATTAAATTTAAAAAAAAATTTAACCTTATAATTTTATTAAAATATCTTCTTCCTGTCGCTACTTCCATAACATCGCAACTTAAAAAAGCTAAACCAAGCTAACCAAGAAAAGAAAAAAAATCTTTCCAAAATGTTGCTAAGCAGAAGGAAAAAACGGTTGGCTAAAGTATTTTGTTTCTTTGGTTAACGTTATGCGAATGTGTAAATATCAGGAAGGGTCTTAAAGTCACCATGAAATCAAAATGGAAAAATCCAAATTTTATGGAATATTGCAGCATTATAAATGATTTTTCTGTGCACATCATTATTCTTTAATAATCTTTAATCAAAATAACTTCCTCTCCCTCTTGCAGCGACATCTCTTCTTTGATGACATGTATACTGGCATGAGGGCGGGACAAACTGTCACTCACATGAGATCGACCAATAGCAAACCACAACCATTCAATCAATTTCCAATGGACAAAATCTAATCCCACCCTACATTGTTTCTTTTTCGAGAAGCCGTTTCACTCGGATATATACGTCACATTAGGGAAGAAAAAAAAACGTGCATATGATGTTATGAATATTTGCTAATATTTTTTTTATAATATAGTATTTGTTTGCATAATAAATAAAAACTAAATAAAATGAACATTTGCTAAAACATTTCACAATGTTAGAAGAACATTGGTGGATTTTTTCCTAAACATTTAAATAGTGTTCTCACGCACTACAAAGCAAATCCAAAATATAACATTTGATGTTTTTAAATGTTTTAGAATATAAATCTGTGGGTCACTCTCACTACAGTACAAACAGTGCTGCTATTCACCTTACTCTGCCCATACTGGCTGTACTGGTAAGATGCCACATGGTCCACGCTGTACCCAGGTGAGCTGTAGCTGGAGGGGCAGTAGGACTGGGAGCTGGGCAGAGTTGGCATGCTGGCCAGGCCTGGCAGAGCCTCCAGTCTCTGAGAAGAGTGGCAGCTGGCAGCCATGCCCGCACTGGGCTCCAAACCGCCCGTCAACGGAGAGAGGGCAAAATCACTCTGCGGCTGATGGGGAACTCCACCTGGATTCAACAGCCCCATCACCTGAGAGAAAGGAAGAAGAAGAGAACACAATGTTGAGTTCCTTTTTTAACAAGCAAGTTGCTGAAAAGACTAGCCTGGGCCCTGGACCAGTATAGACTTCTGTGCTGTTCAGGCTGGTTTATTCTGGTTGGCTGATACATGACCAAATTTTGGTACAAGCATCACTTTTACTATTGCTCATACTTTCGGTTTAAGTTTTGAACAAGCCGCTAACCATACTAAGTAAACTTAAAGGGATAGTTCACCCAAAAAGGAAAATTCTGTCATCATTTACTCACCCTCAAGTTGTTCCAAACCTGTATGAGTTTCTTTCTTCTGCTGAACACAATAGAAGATATTTTGAAGAATGTTGGTAACCAAATGTGACGGTAGCCATTGACTTCAATAGTATGGAAAAAAACACTATGGAAGTCAATGGCTACCGATGAAAAACTCAACAACTTGAGGGTGAGTACATAGTGACAGAATCTTCGTTCTTTGGTGAACAATCCCTTTAATATGAAATGGCACATAATTTGCCCCACATTTGTGCTCAAACTGTTTGATACATCAAATCCTGCAGGTATGCTGTTATTTTACCAAGTGATCAGACTTTAAATTGTCACCTGGCAGATGATAAAATCCCATTGACTTACATTGAAGCACCTAGCAACACCCTGGCGACCACTTTTTAATCATTTTTCAAATAACCATTTTTTAATTATGAATGTAAATACATAGTATTTAGCTCTTAGTAAGAGCGAAAAAAATATTTTTTTCCATTTTTAATACACCTGGAATAACTAAAGTTCCCGGATCTATGAGAATTCTGCATTTTCACCAAATAAAACCATGAAAATTTGCTTTTAATTTGATGGGGAATGAATTCAGCACACCAAACTAAACATAATGACAACGGTATAGTTTTTAATGAAAAAAGCCCTCCTTTCTATCAAACACCATCTGAAACGATTCGGTGACAGCGAGTAAAGATCTCTCCAGCTCACACACAGCGTCTCTGGCCGCCCGTATCTAATTGACACCAGTGACAGACAGATGGAAGCGGGACGTGAGTGTGCCATCAGTGTCTGAGAGCTCTCGACCGCTCCTTGATGGGCCAAGTACATATCAGTTCCCTCCTTCTGCTAATCATTAATCAAAACCAGCCCGGCCCAGAAAAAATCTCCAGCACACCGACTGAACAACCGGCCCACTGACTCCGTCCAGAGTCCATGAGAGTCAAATTATTCCCCATCCTGCAGGACACATGGTTCCTTTTAAACAGTTACCCTGTGCAACCAAAGAGGGGGCGGAGTCAGACGAGAGGGGCTGTATTTCCTTCCCCGTTCCTGAAAAAGTGTAGAGTTGTGTGTTCGGGTAAAGAGCATAACCAGATGAAAAAACAAGAAGAGTAAGAAAACTTTCGACTTTTTTCTATCAAGAATTCCAATAGAACAAGAAAAGCAGAGGGAATGCGTGTGCCACATGCTGTGGGAAGAGGAATAACAGTCGCAGAGAAACTATTGCACATTAAATACGTGGGTGGGTTTGCTCAGATATACTTTAGGGACAAATTTGTCCTCAGATGTGAGCTAAATCTTACAAAAACCTCCCTTTGGGGACATCTGGAAATGTCCTCAATTGAAAAAACAATTCATAAATCATGTTTTTATTTATTTAAAAGCAAAAATCTCGGTTACAGTGATGCACTAACTAAAACTAAAACCATAAAACATATTTTGAAATAAAATAAACGTTAACTTAAAGAAAATATAAAAAAAGATATTTCAGCTAGATGCCAAGGCAATATTTCTCATTTTCATTTAGTTTTAGTTTAACTAAAATAACTAAAAAAAGACTATACAGACATTTAAAAAACTATTAAAATGACAAAAAAACAAACATTTTTCTTATCTTTATCTAAAATTAAAACGGACAATATAAAAATAAAACTAATTAAAAATATTAATAAAACTAGAAAAGCATCTCAATACTAAAATAGCGTATTAGCATGATTTAGCATCTATCAAACTTTTCTGTGTAAATTTCTATTCAGTTTTAATATTTTTCTGACAACACAATGCCTAAAATGACTATAAAAATGAATACAAATGAAAGTTAATCCTTCGAAAATTGGCCTCATTCACTTCCATTCAAAGTGCCACACTGTAACCTAGTTTGGTTTTTGTTTTAAAAAAATAAAATAATGATGGACAATCAAAATCATTTTTTTGTGGTAATCAGAATTATGCCACAAATGCAGTGCAATGAGCTTAACTTGTTTTAAACCCAGTATATTCATCCAAAACAATAGGCATCTATGGTACTCAGCTAGGAAACCATGTGTGTTTGTGCGATTAACACTTTTACAAGCTGTGTGAAGGGTCATGAAATTCCTCTCGGGGTTCATCTTCAACAGCTGTTCAGGACACAAACGGACTCAAAGCTCTGAGCGCTCACAGATTTTCAGGTGCTTTCCCCACCTTGCAGATAACTCAACGGTCACACGAGCTGACAGCGTATATCATGTACAGCAGCGCATGTGTGAGTCACACGGTGATGTGTGATGCTTAACAAATGAAAAGCACATGGAGGTTAAACTCTCTCGTTCACCTCCCCATGGGGGGCCCGGGCCCCGGCTACATGTGAGGTGAAAGAGAAAATCTTCCTTCCATGTCGAGACCACAGACAGGAGTTGTTGACAAAAAGCTTCCTCATAAAACATTTCCCCAGCCAGTGTGATGCATGTACGCAGCTGTCCAGAGGAACCTGTGGGATCCAGCATCCCACAAAGAGCAAAAACACACTTACAAATCCATATAAAGTGCCATTTCTGTAGATTATATACAAGTTAAGCTTATATATATATATATATATATATAATTGTAATTTACTCATTCTTTTTTGTTGTTGTTTTTACAAACTTATGCATAAATTGAAATTATTTTTTATATTTAACCTGGACAATTCATTTGATTTAAACTCTGCGTTTCAACAATAGCACCGGAATTTTTTTTAACATATTACTAAGTACTTTTTAGGAGGAGACCAGGCAAAACGTATTTTTTAATGCATTAATTATGCCTTTTAATGGACCTTATAATGCATTGTATGATCTCAAAAATAATTGTCTCCCCATTATGATACTCTTCTATTCATTGGACACATTTTTAGAAAGTATAATGCATTAAAACATGACAAACAACTCACAGGTGTAACAAGGAATCTGCAAATATTATAATGCATCTTAACTTTGGTTACAATTATTTAGGAAAAGATATAATGCATTATAACGTACATTATGTATACCTTTATAATGCATTATAAAGTGTTACCACAATGTTTAATTTTTTACTAAAAGGTACACTTGAGACAATGGACAGGAATTTATGGGATAAAAAAAAGAGTGAATTGGATCAGAAAACCATGTGTGTGTGTGTGTGTGTGTGTATATATGTACATACTGTGTATCAGTTCATGTTGTGTTTTTTAACATGTACCATCGCAATCATTCAGTACCGTGGTATTTATCAAAGTATCTCCATCTAATACATATCTCTACTATCATATTTTTTGTTAAATGAATAGATAATAAATATAATAATATATAATTCGAAATAATCACAGTTTCGTTTGCTAATAAATTACAAACCAATCTGCAGGGACAACCCTTCTCAACACACCCCGAATCCCAAGCTTATTTCAGCATACATTAAACCACAGATAAATACATAATTCAAACAATTAGCCAACAAAGTGGCTCATTTGCATAAATTACACAGCGCATTATGGAGGGTAAATTCTCCCATTCCAATCAATTAAGAGTCTGGTGGATCTCATAATTAGAATCCCAGACGCTGAGAGTTCCAACATCGTCATGACGACGAGAATCCCTGCCCTTCAACAACACGACGGCACTGGCCGACCCTGTGCCAGGTTACAAACACACACGCACACACTAATGGCAATAACAGACTGAGTGTGTGAGTGTGAGAGTTACCTGACCTCTAAGTCATTCCTGACGGAGGAATGCTGCCTTAATGACTAGGAATTGGTTCTGATTACAAACCCTGCTGCTGGGGGCGCTGCAATTAGACACACTTCAATTAATACGTCATGTTAAATAACTTTGAGCAGTTCAATTACTGTACACGAGGCGATAGTCACAATCCACGGAGAGGAGACGTTATTTCATAAGGTTTACGCTTTTTAAAATCATGAAGTGAACTTTTGCATATTTTTAGAAAAATAAAAACATTTTAGCAACTCTTTACAATAAGGTCCCATTAGTTAACATTAGATATCAAACAATGAGCAATGCATTTGTTACAGTATTTATTCATTATATAAAAATACAACTGTTCATTGTTAGTTCATGTTAGCTCAGGTTCCTTAAATAATATGGTAACACTTTATTTTACAGTGTCCTTGTTACATGTTACATGTACTTACCATCGTAATAACAGTAAATTATGCATAATTACATGTAACTAACCCTCAACCAAACCCTAATCCCTAACCCTATAGTAAGTACATGTAGTTAATTAATATTACTCAGTACTTAAATATATAATTACACTGTAACAATGACACCTTAAAATAAAGTGTAACCATTAATATTAAGAGATACAGATACAATTTTGCTTTAGAAGTATTTTTCATTGTTAGATCATGGTAACAAATGGAACCTTATTGTAAAGCGTTATCAAGCTTTTCAAACGAAATGTTGTCATTATTTACTCATCATATCATTCCATTTTTTTTTTTCATGAAACGCAAAAGTCAAATTGTCATGCAGATTTTTCCATGCAATAACAGTTCATATGTAACAAGGACTGTCTCAAAGTGAAAAAAAGTAGCATAAAAGTGGTCTTCTGGAGGCATGAATATTATAGACTTATGAGGAACACACCCAAATTTATGTTGTATGCTTTTATGGCTTTTTTTGTGTTTTATTTTTTGGAGACATGGAAACAGTGAGCTGTTGTTCTATTCCTCAAAATGTTCTCTGGAAGAAAGAATGCCATTCAAGTTTGAAACAACATGAGGGTGAGTAAATAAAGACCGAATTTTTATTTTTGGGTGAACTACCCCTTTAACAAAAACGTTATTGTGACATATCATATCTGATCAATGGCGATATGTGTTTAGACTGCAGTGTTGCTTGTTTCCCATAAATCTTCCTGGCGTTTTCAGGCTTTTGTCTCTTTTATGTGTGTGTGTGTTTTGAGAAAGAACCTCATTCTCAACAACATCTTCTGTTTCATAGCCTCAGGGCCGCTCTCTATCTAAATCACTCTAATTTTTCTCCCGTGTCCATTTCTTTCTCTTTCTGTCCATCTCTTTCATTCCATTTATCTGTATCACGCAGCACTGAGAGGGGTTTGAGTTTGAGGACAGTACCCAGAATGCCGCTCCTGTCTAACTACCGGATGCTTTGAGGCAGTTAGGAGCTCATTTTCTGGTTGTTAGCACGTTGTGCGCAGCAGGCGAGCCGACAGATAACAGCTGATGAGTGTGTAATCACAAATAATTGTCTTTCACTTCTCGTTTCCATCATCATCCTTTCGGTCATGTCCTACCCCTCCTCACACCTTCATTCTCACATTCACTCACATTGCAAATCCTCTCGGTGTAAAAACAGAGACCTTCAGAAAGCAACATCACAATAAAAAAAGCTTGTATAGACTATTCAAAAGTTTGAGGTCAGTAAGGTTTTTTTTTTTTTTTTTTTTTTTAAATCAATACTTTTATTCAGCAAGGATGCATTAAATTGATTCAAGTGAAGTGACCATAAAGACGTTTATAATGAAGATTTCTATTCATCAAAGAATCCTGGAAAAATGTATCACGGTTTCCAACGAAATATTAAGCAGTACAACTTGTTTCAACATTGATAATAATAATAATAATAATAATAATGAATGTTTCTTAAACACCAAATTAGCATATTAGAATGATTTCTGAAGGATCATGTGACACTGAAGTCTGGAGTAATGATGCTGAAAATTCAGCTTTGACATCAGAGGAATAAATTACATTTTAAAACATAGTACACTAGAAAACAGTTATTTTTAAATTGTAATAATATTTCACAATATTACTGTGTTTTTAATTAAATAAATGCACCCTTAGTGAGTATAAGATACTTTCTTACAAAGGAAATTTTTAAAAATGTTGACCCCAAACTGTATCTGTAACCTTGATAATGACTACAACACTTTCTAGTAAGACTCATTGAATTAAACAGCCGTATTTTGTGACTGTACCTTTAAGAGTTCCTTATGACCCTGTATGATTGCCTAAAGAATTGAGTAACAACAACGTCCCAACCATAACACAGATTGTGTGGTAGAAACCTCTGGCAACTGGTCAATATATACAGCCATATAAATACTATATATCCAGAACCGTATATGTCACATGAGATGATACTGACCTGTGACGGGAGGCTGTTGGGGTTCACTGGGTTTGCATGGCCTGGCGCAGCCACATAACCATCCGAGTAACCAGAGAATCCATGACGTCCAGAGGAGAGGCAGTAGGCCGAACTCCCCTCCTGGGCCCCCGGTCCGCTGCCAAGCCCAGACTGATGCACTGAGGTGGGGGGAAGAGGCTGAGGCCTGTGCACAGTGCTGGGCTGATCTGACACTGATGGGAGAGGGAGGGAAAGAGAAAGAGAAAGAGAAAGAGAAAGAGAAAGAGAAAGAGAAAGAGAAAGAGAAAGAGAAAGAGAAAAAGAAAAAGGGAAGATATTGATGAAAAATCAAGAGGAATCTCTTTGTTAAAGTTATACACCGTTTTATTATTTAAAGCTTCTTTAAAAAACATTAAGGTGCTGTGCTGATATAAATACCATCCAAATTCATATCTTTGAGCTTCCAAGGACTAAATGACTAAAAATAGTTTCAGAAACTGTACAGAAAGTACACTTCCGTTCAAAAAAAGTTTGGGGTCTGTAAGATTGCTGTAAGTCTCTTCTGCTGACCAAGGCTGCATTTAAAACAGATAAAACAGAAATATTTTTGAAATATTGTTACCATTTAAAATGACTGGATTCTATTTGAATATATTTAAAAAATATATTTTATTCCTGTGATGGCAAAACTGAATTTTCAGCATCATTACTCCAGTCTTCAGTGTCACATGATCTTTCAGAAATCATTATAATATGCTGATTTGGTGCTCAGGTAACATTTCCTATTATTTTTAATATTTTTGTGTACACCATGATGCATTTTTTGATGCATCAGGATTCTTTTTTCATCGTTTATTTGAAATAGAAATGTTTTGTAACATTGTAAATGTCTTTACTGTCACTTTTGTTCAAGTTCATGCATCCTTGCTGAATAAAAGTTATTATATAATTATTATATATATATATTTTTTAATTCTTTTTTTGGTTACACTTTATTTTAAGGTGTCATTGTTACAGTGTAATTATATATTTAAGTACTGAGTAATATTAAGCAACTACATGTAATTACTATAGGATTAGGATTTGGTTGAGGGTTAGTTGCATGTAATTATGCATCATTTACAGTTATTACTATGGTAAGTACATGTAACATATGTAACAAGGACACTAAAATAAAATGTTACCATTTTGTTTTCTTACTGGGACCAAACTTTTGACCAGTAGTGTATTACTATGCTTTACAGTTCTCACCTTGTGAGATAGATGAGGGAGGGTAAGGGCTGTCCGCCAGCTGATAGGGCTGAAGACTCGACATCGCAGAGGGTGGGAAACCGCCAGGTATCAGGTGATTAAACGCCATCAGCTGATTGGCTCCTGCCTGCTTCCTCCAGCGAGCTCTTCGATTACTGAACCAAACCTGCGGGAAAACAAAAAAAAATTGTTTTTATACTCAAACTGGTACTAAATTTAAAACATGACACATTTCAGCATGGACTTCCTATAGCACCCCCCTTTATTCAAGAATATGATATTCAACCATGTTATTCCTATAAGAATGTGTTTGTGTGTGTCATGTATCTGAGTTTACACAGGGACTCTTTGTGTGTTCAGTAGCTCGAAGCTTGTTTGGTCTGATTTCGATCGAAACATCTGTGCTCATTAAAAAGCGATGACATCACGTCACGGGTTCTAGTTTAATTGGGTTAGAAGGACTTAATAATAGAGTTTATTAAAAGATTCTGTTTTGGGGGTTTTCTGCGACAGAATACTAGGGTAAAAACAAGAGGTCAGACGTGGCACAAAGAAGCCTGTGTTTATGCGAGTGTGTCATGTGACTTCGGGGCAGGGGTGCAGGGCTAAATGCTGGTAAATTTAGTCTCCCAGTGTAAATCACATTAACGTTTTTTTAGCGGCAATGCAACTTACGAGAAAGTGTGTGTAGAGTGATCACAGGCACACACAAAAAAGAGCCAAATATGTTATGGTCACATCATTAACAAAACTTCTACAGGAAGAAAAAGAATTGGATATTAAAAGTTTGTGCATGAATGTACCTGTACTCGGGCCTCTGTGAGTTTGGCTCTCTGAGCGAGCTCTTCTCTGGTGTATATATCAGGGTAATGGGTGCGTTCGAAAGCTCTCTCCAGCTCCTCCAGTTGCTCGGCCGTAAACGTGGTCCGACTGCGCCGCTGTTTCCTCTTTAGTGGCAAACCCGGTTCCGAGTCCACGTCTGAGCCCTCATCTGAGTGGCTTGCTACAAAGTAAACATTCAAATGAGATTCTTATTAAATAAAGAATAAAACCAGCACTCTGTTATCAGCTGTGAGAGATTTTCATTTATTTCAGCAGAGCACAAATTTTAAAATGAGATATTATTGACTAGAATTTGGATCTGTTCCTTGTACAAAGCTATTGCATGGCTTTAAAAGAGTTGGAATATAGTTCAAAAGACTCTTTTATGATACATTTTTATGATACCGCAGTCCTTAATGGGTTTCACGATATAGAAAAGAGTGACCAAAATATTTCTATTCCACGGCCTAAAGAAAGTCACAGGTTTGGAACAAAACAAAACAAAACATTTTTTTTTTTTTTTATAAATTAAATTAAATAAATAAAATAAAAAGATCTGGACTATTTCAATGAGACATTAGAAAATATATAACATAAAATAAAACAAAAAGTAAGTAAATATATACATTCAAATTAAATAAAATTAAATATCATTTAAAGTCCGCTAGAAATAGTTTTTGAGCAGCAATACTCTAGAAATTATGTTGTAGTTCATGTCTTGATGCACAAGGGATAACTAAAATATTTAAATGAAACAAATTCTACATCCTGAATACACAAACATTCAAATTTAAATGTAAAAACTTACAAGATACCATAAGGAAAAAAGTTACAGCATGACAATTCTATAAATCCCCTGCAAACCAATATCTGAAAATTAATATTTAAAAACCTTTACATGGATTTATCACGTTAATCTTTTATATTCGGCTAGATAAATTGACCGCAATATTGTTGTGAGTTATTTTGTTTCCACCTGCTTAATATTGAAGGCCAGTATCTGTAAGATTTACTCTCACCCAATGCACACGTCACACATCACTCGCTCATATGCAGGTATTATTTGGGGTGAAGTTGGACCGGGTGAGAGGTTCTTTCGTAGCTAATTCAGCAGAAGAGAATGTTAGTGTGAGTGGACTAAAGCTCAGGGAATCTGTACCCAGAGGAGGGGGGCCCTATCAAATGATTAGGCTCCTCAAACTAGCGTGACAGCCAGCTATTGTCCAGTAATACGCCTCGAAAGCCCCCGTCCAGAACTCGCCAACGCCACATCTGCTTCGTCTGACACTAGCCATCTCCTTTCTCTTGTTCGCTCTCTCTTCGATTTTCACCCCCATATGGTAGAAAACACAAAACGTTAAAAGACGCCCAGACTTCGCCAAGCCACACCGCATCCGCAGACCCTAAAATTAAAACTGCGATTAAAACCGTCCATTAAACTTACTTTTCATTAAGCTTGAGCTCACATTCACTAAGTGTAATAACCAAAAAAAGTAAAGGATATGCAAAAAGTAGGATCCGCAATGTGCCAATGGCATGAATTTCCCTTTAGTAATCTATGTGAACTCATCTACTACGATTTTACAGTTGTGATGTAAAATCTTTCTGACGTTTTTAGTTGGAAAAAGTAATGCAGATGCCATAAATAAACCAGGTAATGCCTCTGTTTCACAAACAAAAACATATCTGGACTTCCCAACAAATATACAGGTGTATTTCTCCTTCGGAGTGAGGAAGAAAGAGACGAGAGAATTCGAGGTTTAATTGAAAGTGAAGAGTCACGCAAAGCAAACCCTTCGGTCTCCACCCTGGAGCCACACAGGAAATGCTACTGCATCTCTCCAGCATCTCGCAGGAATTGGAATGGAAAGAGAGACAGGGATGGCTGTCCTTTACCACTTTTCCACCCTCTAACAGAGAAAAGTCTCTTTTTTCCCAAAAGTCTGGACTATTTTCAGCAGACGACAGTTTTCGAGGAAATGGTATCCATCATATCCTTCATATACAGAATGCCCTCAGAGAACTAACTCGCAAATTAGAAAAGCACATAAAAACATGTTTTTCTCCCAAAACAAACATCCAGAAATCAGATCAGGTTTACACGGGCATGAGGAGAAAAAAAGAGCAAGAGAGCTTTCAAATCACTAGAAGCAAGTTTTCGGTTTCTTTTTCTTTGTCTTCCAATTTAATTGGAAGTTTCTATCATTACAGCTGCAAAAAAAAGTCATGTACTAAAAAAAAACAAAAAAAGAATTAAATAAAATGAAACAAAAAAAATTAAAATTTTAAAATAAAACTCAGACATCCCTTAATTCTCTTGAATTTGTATTATTGCCACTGCAAACAAAATGTTAAAGTAAATAAATAAAATGAAATAATAGGTGAATAAGCAAGTCGGTCTTCCCATAATTCCCTTGAGTTTCTAATATTACTACTGCAAAAAGTCAAACGCTGCAAATAAATAAAGTAATATAAAATAAAAAATAAACAAAAAAAAGTAAATAAATAAAATAAAACATAATTCTCTTGAGTTTCTATCATTACAGCAAAAAAAAAAGTCAAACGCTACAGACTGTAATCTGTAAATTACACTGTTTCATTTGGCTCTTTCTCTCTTGCGCGCTCCCTCTCTCTCTCTCTCACTCCATCTCTTTTGGGGAGTTATTTGGCAGTCTTTTGTTGGCCTGTTTAGTGAGAATGGTGACTGAGCTCTTTGGAGTCTGATTTCCACGCTCCATCTGTAGGTTCCATGAGCTGGGTCCGGGCAGCATTGAGGCCCCTGTCACCTGCCTGGCAGGGGGCGGGGGGGGAGGTGGGCACAATGAGGGCTGGACGCAGGGCAATGGGGGCTCCGCAGGGGAACAGCGGGGGGCCGCCCCCGAACCCTTCCTCCTCCACGGCCAGGGGGTTACGGAGGTGGAGGTGGTGGTGGTGGGGGGGTGACGGGGAAAGAGCGATATGGAGAGGGTTAAGGAGAAAAAAAGAAGATGAAGAAGAGGGGGCTGATCGCTCAATGGCACCTGGGGGACTAGTTTGGTGACTAGAGAGGGTGTGTGGGAATAGCGATTCTAGTTTAAGATGATTGTCAGCCCCGGTCTCGTTCATCATGTCCATTTACAGCATTGACGTACGCTAAACAGGCACTTCTCGGAAAAAACATGGATTTTAAACTTCACCGAAAAAGCAGCCATACAGCCATAGATCGGATTAGAGAATCATTTAACATCATAAACCAGATTTGGTTACACTTTATTTGAAGATGTCTTTGTTACACTGTAACTATACATTTAAGCACTGAGTAATATTAATTAACTACATACTTGCTATAGGGTTAGGATTAGGTTTTAATTTAGTTTATGGTTTTGCATGTAATTGTGCACAATTTATAATTATTACTATAGTAACTACATGTAACATATGTAACAATGACACTGTAAAATAAAGTGCTACCCCAGATTTACTCTGAGAATCAGATCGATACAGACAGAAATTGCTCCCATAATTCCCCTTTAAAAAGAAACAGGATTTTCACAACCTTAAATTATCAACACTTTTTAAAAAATTACAAAGAAAAAATGCATCGAATTTTCACAGAATAACCAAAAGCTGCCCATATGGAGAGCAGTGTATGTCACCAAATCATCTTAGGGGCCGTTTACAGACCATTTTCAACTAAAACAGGGAAACTTTGTATACATTTTGGCTGTTCATTTACAAGACAACGGTGTTTTGGTGGCCTGAAAAAACACAAACTTTTGAAAACGGGGTTCAAAGTTCAAGCGTTACTGTAAAAGATAGCGTTATCATCTCCATGTAAACTACAAAAATGTGAATTTGTGAAAACAGTGACTTCATGCACGTTGTATAGGCGCGTACTGTTCAGTCTACTTGTATAGACGCGTACTGGCCTGGCATGAATGATACAGCGTTTGTAGTCGGTTTCGCGGATCCGTGTGAACGGGGATCCTTTTGACAACGTTGTCGTCTCTATGCGAAAAACTCAAAGGAAACACTTTTCTTGTTGACAACATTGTTGTCGTGTAAACACACCCTTAGTCTGTAGTTGTGTGAAAACACTTGTTAAGCCGCTGAAAATGCCACTGAACATTTTTGACTTGAAAACATCTCATACTGGTAAATGGCAACACAGACAGATTCAGTCACTGTCCTTCAGAATTTCAGCAGGACAGGAACTCACACTGTGTCCACTTCCCACAGCATACCTGTCCCAGTACACCACCGACAGCTCAGACCATCTATCATGCTCATCTACTCTGCATCTCTTTGACTTTTGACTGAGGTTTTGTCTTTCATCTGCAAAAATGCCATTAAAGCAGACAACTGAATGTCTAGCTACATTACAATGAGTGACATGATGCAACAAGAAAAGGAGAAAAAGAAAAAGACAGGGGAGGCAAGACAGGTAAGCTTGTGGACCCCTTAAAAGTAAAAGTAAAGTAAAGTTAAAGTAAAGACATTATCCAACCACATGAAATAATGAAACAACATATATAAGCACTAGGGGAGTAAACATTTGCTTTGAAAAACTAAATCATGTGTCATAAAATCTGGAATTGTTGTCATGATTTGGTTTGAATTCTTTTGACTTATTTTCAAAAATAAAATGTAACTGGAAGGATAATCTACACCTACGAGTTGACATGATCTGGATATGGAGGGATTTTACTGTAAATAGGACTAAAATTATATTTTATATAGAAAACGAACACGTTACATTGGGTTTTATTGTATTAATTCAAATAAATGATTTTGCTTATTACATTCAAAATAAAATTCTGTAATCAATGCATTGCACATTTTTACACCTCTAGACACTTTAATATGTCTTAAATGATAAAAACGTAGTAAAGTGACCTGCTTAACTTCACAGTAGTTACATATAATAGTAATTCTGTAGTCATTGCTTAAATATCCCATTAGCTGGAGGACGTGTGGAAGTTTTGGAGCTTTTAACCAAAGGAGTAGGTCTATTGTTATTTAGTGAGTGTTAATTCACGATACCAGGACATGGTGCCTCTCGCTCACACATCAGATTTATATTCCTCTCACACACAGGACAAACACCACAAACCTGCAGCCTGCCAGCTACACACAGCATTTATCAGTGCACTCGGGAAGAGAGAGAGAGAGAGAGAGAGAGAGAGAGAGAGAGAGAGAGAG